TAAGAGTTTAAACTGTTTATGATCTGAATTCTTTTACACTACCTTCAATTTCCTGTCATTAGTTCATTACTTTGGTCCAAAGTGTGTGTGAAATGAAAAATGCAGTTGCTGTTAAATATCTATCAGACTGCCTAAAAACAAATAAGAGTTAAAAATAATTGAAGTTCTTGTTGACAGTGAATAAACTATCCAATTATTTTAATAGAAGTAAAAAATCCAAAAATGATTAAACGTGACAACAGTTGTTGACTATTATGATTAAGGAATTGAACAGAATGAATAAAATTAAATGTGTTTATACATAATTAATCATATTTATTAATTCTATTAGAGCTTAACAGATTGTATAAATCTTAATTCCACAAACACAAAAAGACAGAAATCCCTATTTCAAAAGGCTATTCAGGAAACATTTCTGTGTTCGCATTCAGGCGGTCTCCCGTGCATTGGTTTGGATCCAGTTGTGGAAAATAATGTCATTGTACTTCCCTGTAGGCGGTGATGGCTGCTTTGCTGTTGACAAGAAGACAGGCCAGGTGGTGACCACAGGGCTGGTGCTTCAGAGGGAGAGAGAGTACTTGTTAAGCGTGGTGGCCCTTGACGGCATGGGGAGCCGCAGTGCCCCCGCCATGCTCTCTGTGGTGGCGGGAGCTAGAGCGCCGCAGTTCACCAATACAAGCTATGCCATCTCAATACCAGAAAACACACCCGAGGGACAGCCGTGAGTACTGCCTGTGTTTGCATCCACTTATAAACATACTCAGGGATACGTTCCAGCTGCGTATTAGCAGCAAAACATCATGAAAAATGCTTTTCTTCTTCCAGTGTGTTATATTCATTCTGTAAAGCTGAAATTATTATATCTACAAATCATTTCTTGTTAAGCACATATGCCAGACCTTTTTAGATCTTTATCTGTTCCCATCTGGTTATCAGCAAACACTTTGTGTCAGATTCTTCATGGCTGCCTCGGTATGTTTAATTGCCCGATACTGCAAGCACAACATTAAAAATGCCACAATATAGTAGACATATTTTAATACACTTAATTTCTGTAAATTAACAAAGACTAAGATGAAAGCAGGCATGAGACGATGTGCTGTCTCACACCAGGACAGTTACACGTGCAGACTTTAGCATGATAATATAAATCAATGAAATTGCAGTATGTATAGCTCTGCTCTGCAAACATAAGTCCTACAATAATGAATGCAGACATGCATAAAAACACACAAAAGGTGTCAGATCTCAAGCATAACTTGTTAAGAATTTGTTAATAAATATTCATTTGTTCACACCAGTGCACTCGAGCATGAACTGACTTATTATCATCACACGCTATTAGGGAATGCAAACTCTCTTCACTGTCAAAACAAACACTGATATCTACATAATACTATCATATTATTACACAGAACTGACGATCACTGATTGACTGTGTTTATAGCACATAGCCAATGGGCCATACAATAATTGATTTCATTACAGCGCAG